GATCCCACGCACGAATAAAAGACAAACCAGAAGTACAGAAAAACTAAGTCTAAAAACATAGTACCGAAAAGACATCTTTTCCAAGTTTCATGTCGAAGATAAAGATAACATCTTATCCAATCTCCCTTTCAGACCAAACTCATTCGTCCTCTAAAAGCTTGTTTGTGTTCCGCACCTCTCCAGCCTCTTTTTTTACTCTCCACCCCTATCCAAGATCAAATATTCAAGATATAATCGTTACAATGGAAATCAAGTGTTGGATCATTCACACGCCCATATAACACAATGGAGGTGATCTAAAAGGCTGATAGAGAACGTACCCTTAATGCAAAACGACTGGATAAGTACAGTTCCTCCGCCCGAGAGCCCTCGTACGCTGGTTCAGGCCTGATTGCCTCGTCGTCCTGAACCAGCGACGAGGTGGTAAAGTTGACTGATTGTTATTCAGAATCACCATAGATTTCTCCGTCGTCCTCCTCGTCAAAGTTGCTCAAGTCGAGCTGGTAACGGAGAATTCCTCCAATCCCTCCAAAGCCTCTGCAGAATTGAGACCCTTCTTGCGATCTATTCGTGACAAACTCTAGACTGCATCCATATTGTCGGTATTCGTTAGCCAGCCACTCTAGGAGAGGCATCTTGTCCTCAACGTTCAAGTCCTCGTTTCCCGACTTGAAGTTATCCATATCGGCTTCCTGTTCCTTGTTCAGAAACTTGATCATCGTTTCACCGGTGGCATTGTTTTTCAACACATATCTGTTGATATCCACATTCTCCCAAACGATTAGGGTTTCCACGGCGCCAGACTCTAAAGCTTTCAGTGTGTCATCGACACCAAAGACATATTTCCCAGTGTCCTGGCTTATCTCCTCAAAGTACTTGCCAATCAAACGCTTCTCTTGGATGAACTTCACGTTAGCCAGGATCTCTGAAGAGAGCTCGATAGCTTGATTAAATCCATTTTCTCCTCCATATGAGACATCAACAACGTTAAGGATCTTTGCCTGAAGACGGGGATCAAACATGTCTGACTGACTCAGCTCAGTCTTGAAGTCAGCTGAACCAGCAAGGATCAGTCCAGCCACATTAGGCTGGCTTGTAGCAGGATTAATGTAATACTGTGTGGCGAGTTCAGCGGTCTTCCTCACATAATTGTGGCGCTTCTCCATACGGAGACGGGCAAACCGAAGGGCTGATTGTCCTCCTCTCCCGTGTTTCTTCGGGAGATCAACAGAAAACTTGTGAAGCACCTCTCGGGTATTACCGCTGAGAGTTCCAAAGAGGGTTCCATTCCCATCCATCACGATAAAGCCAAACTTCTCATCAGATTCCAGCAGTTCATTAAGAGCTTCTGTGTGGAACTTGTTGTCACACAGGTAGAGAGAAGCATTTATAGGCCTGAATGGCTCAAAGTCGATGGTAACCTTCTTTTCCTTTCCATCTTCATTGACGACGGTACCAGTGTACAGAACGAGCCCGTTCGTGGGGACCTTGCTGTAAAGTTTCAGCCTTTGCTGAGCAGATGTTATGGCTCCCAACACAGACTGCCGGTTGACCCTGCTCTTGATGTTTGAAGCAGTTCCATATTCATCACCCAACATCTTCGTTACACGGGATATCTGGTCGCGAGGGGGCATGATAAGGGAGATCATGCTAGTTCCATTTCCCCGAGCAGCTTCAAGAGCTTTGATGAGCTTCTTGATTTTCCACATCTGGATGTTCTTATCATTGTCTTGATTGTCCGCCATGATGGTGAGGTGATGATAAAAAGAGAATCGAAACTGCAGTAGATGTATTGGAAACCAGAAGCTAGTTAGGACACAAAAAGATATAAGCACCCATCATTTAGGAACAACATATCAACTCTCTATGTTGACAAGGAAAAGTTGCGTAGGAACAGAACCAGTAAAAATGATATTCTACTTCGAACATGGCGGCTACAATTGCAATCTCCTCTTCTAAGAGCAAGCCATCAAGAAAGCAACTAAGCCCCAAGAGCCTTGTGACAATAAAAGCCGACAAAACTCAAATTCGGTGTCACGTGATGTCCGAAGATTCTTTGAATAAAAAAATCCCAAGAAGTCAAAGTAGATGATAATAAAGTAATAAAAAAAATGGGGTACCACCAGACAAGACCCAGCACAGAAAATAAATTAATATTTGATGCGTTCATCAGAAATACTTTCTGCATGGCGTTACCAATCAGCTTTCTCCCGAAGGATTTAACGAACGTTCCACGAAAAACGATCGGTTTAGATCTTTCAGACCTTATGCAAATCAATGTCGCAGCACGCAGGCAGTCCACAAAATCAATATACAAAACCTAAATTCAATCACGAACCCTAACAACGAGAACAAAGGGAATTCAACACGTAACCGTCAGTAAAAAAATTCAAAATACCAGCAGATTATTTATTTCGTGAAACACAGATCAACACGCATATCAATCAGATCGCAGCTCGATCGTCAGAACATCGGGCATAAAAGTGAGCAAGGTTGGAAAAAAAAAAGCAAACATGAAGGAGGGGAAAGCACCTGAGAGAAGAAACTGCGTGAAGGAAACGGAGAATTCGATTAGCACGCGCAAGCCTCGAAATGGGATTGTTTGGGGGTATTTATGCTCCTCGGCCGATCTTTTTATATGTAACGGCAATTTTCTCCTTTGCGTGACCTAGTTAGGGTTCTGCTTTTAACATCGGACTTGAATTAACCAATGAGCCTGGGTCCCCAATTACATTATAAATGGGCCTAAGCCCAAACTATTGTTCGGCCTAAATCAACAGTTTTATTGTTTGGGTATTTTGAGCCCAACTAGTGAAGGTCATTTCAAGATCCGTTTGGTGTTTCCTCTGTTGTTCGTTTTCGTTTGCGGCTGTTGCTGTGTCGAGGATCGAGAGAGGAG